GTTAAGGATTCAGAAAGTGAGAGAGAGCGAGAGAGCGAGCTGAACTCCAGCCTAATTTCTCACTGTGCCCTCCAATCCCCTAATAGCCTGACCTACAGGGCTAAACCCTCCCCCGTGTCTCATCCTCTTTGGTGTAGCTAGGCTTTCATAAAAGGCTGTTTCCAGAGCCTTATGCTATTCTGAACCTATCAAACAATTTTAGAGAAAGATCCAGCAACTAAAATGGAGAGACATAGACTTGAAACTTTCAATCTAATAAGAAATGTATTTCCTTAAACAATACCCACATTTCGTGAGTTATAGCCATGCTCAGCTCCCCAAGATAGATATAAGTCAAAGATAATGGAATATCGGTGCTTAAACCACAGCTTTTTTTTCTTTTTTTTTTTTTTTAAGACAGAAATTTTTGCTATCAGATGCATGCACTCGCTGGAAAGACAGAGACAGAAAGGAGAAATCACCCCTGGAGGGGATGGCCATGCCACAGTCCCTTCTCCATTCTCCTCTTGCAATTTTGGGCATGAACGCACACACACCCAACATCAGTTTTAAGCCACCAGATCCAGGACTCGAACCACAGTTGACTACATGAGAGTCCAGCGATGTAACTATTATGCCATCTACTGGACCCTGAACCACAACGTTAAGATTAATTTTTATTTCCTCTTTATATGTTACCCTCATTCACATCAACATTATTAAATAAAATACTTGTTCATAGGTCTTCCTATTCATAAAGACAAACTATTTTCTGTTTTCTTTTCTTTTTTTAAAGAATTATTTTACTTAACTTTATTTATTTATTTACTTATTTATTTTAATTTGACCAGAGAGGGACTGTGTGTGTGTGTGTGTGTGTGTGTGCATGCACGCGTGTGTGCGTGTGTGTTTAAGAAAGAGAGAGAGAGAAAGTGAGAAAGCAAGCTGCCAGGTCAGGGACTTGAACCGTGGTCAGCCATGTCGGAGTCTAGTGCCCTTAACTACCATGCCACGGTGCCGGCCCTCAAGGCAAGCTAGTTTCTAATAAAACAATTAATTGCAAATATGTATACATTTTTATAGATATATAGGACCTGTTTCTTTTTCACTCTTAGAAAAGGCTGGTAGACTACTTAGGGAATTTCCTTAAGCTTTCATTTGGAGTTTTCAATATCACAAGTATTCTTGTCCTCTAAATGTCAATTCCTCCTTTATTCTCTTGCTGGTCACCCATGGTCTGACCTTGAGGATCCACAGTATGTTTGACTCTTTTTTCTCTTCTCCATTCTCATTCCACAGCTGTTACATCAGCACAACAAATGAAGCTCTTAGAACCGCAAGCTATTATCACAGGTTTCTCACTTGTGTCCAGCATTTCCCACTTCATAATAAATCCCATATGTAATAGTTTGGCAAATCTAACACCATGATTTCAACTGCTACTCTCCTCCCTAGGGCAGGCTCCAAAGTATTCCCTAACACATTCTGGCTTTATATCCCACCCCATATGTATTGTCTCATATTTTAGGAACATTATCTATAAACCAGTTCCTCATGGATGCATTCCTAAAAAGCTGTTTAAATGTAGTGAGTAAAACAACCAAAGCATCTCGGGGGAACCAGCAGATGGCGTGGTGGTTAAAGTACTGGACACTCCCATATGGCCAACCATGGTTCAAGTCCTGAACCTGGTGGCTTGCTTTCTCACTTTCCCTGTATCTCTCTATATATATATGTGTCTCTTAGGAGTTAAGGATTCAGAAAGTGAGAGAGAGCGAGAGAGCGAGCTGGACTCCAGCCTAATTTCTCACTGTGCCCTCCAATCCCCTAATAGCCTGACCTACAGGGCTAAACCCTCCCCCGTGTCTCATCCTCTTTGGTGTAGCTAGGCTTTCATAAAAGGCTGTTTCCAGAGCCTTATGCTATTCTGAACCTATCAAACAATTTTAGAGAAAGATCCAGCAACTAAAATGGAGAGACATAGACTTGAAACTTTCAATCTAATAAGAAATGTATTTCCTTAAACAATACCCACATTTCGTGAGTTATAGCCATGCTCAGCTCCCCAAGATAGATATAAGTCAAAGATAATGGAATATCGGTGCTTAAACCACAGCTTTTTTTTTTTTTTTTTTTTTTTTCAGAACGAAACTATCAGATGCATGCACTCGCTGGAAAGACAGAGACAGAAAGGAGAAATCACCCCTGGAGGGGATGGCCATGCCACAGTCCCTTCTCCATTCTCCTCTTGCAATTTTGGGCATGAACGCACACACACCCAACATCAGTTTTAAGCCACCAGATCCAGGACTCGAACCACAGTTGACTACATGAGAGTCCAGCGATGTAACTATTATGCCATCTACTGGACCCTGAACCACAACGTTAAGATTAATTTTTATTTCCTCTTTATATGTTACCCTCATTCACATCAACATTATTAAATAAAATACTTGTTCATAGGTCTTCCTATTCATAAAGACAAACTATTTTCTGTTTTCTTTTCTTTTTTTAAAGAATTATTTTACTTAACTTTATTTATTTATTTACTTATTTATTTTAATTTGACCAGAGAGGGACTGTGTGTGTGTGTGTGTGTGTGTGTGCATGCACGCGTGTGTGCGTGTGTGTTTAAGAAAGAGAGAGAGAGAAAGTGAGAAAGCAAGCTGCCAGGTCAGGGACTTGAACCGTGGTCAGCCATGTCGGAGTCTAGTGCCCTTAACTACCATGCCACGGTGCCGGCCCTCAAGGCAAGCTAGTTTCTAATAAAACAATTAATTGCAAATATGTATACATTTTTATAGATATATAGGACCTGTTTCTTTTTCACTCTTAGAAAAGGCTGGTAGACTACTTAGGGAATTTCCTTAAGCTTTCATTTGGAGTTTTCAATATCACAAGTATTCTTGTCCTCTAAATGTCAATTCCTCCTTTATTCTCTTGCTGGTCACCCATGGTCTGACCTTGAGGATCCACAGTATGTTTGACTCTTTTTTCTCTTCTCCATTCTCATTCCACAGCTGTTACATCAGCACAACAAATGAAGCTCTTAGAACCGCAAGCTATTATCACAGGTTTCTCACTTGTGTCCAGCATTTCCCACTTCATAATAAATCCCATATGTAATAGTTTGGCAAATCTAACACCATGATTTCAACTGCTACTCTCCTCCCTAGGGCAGGCTCCAAAGTATTCCCTAACACATTCTGGCTTTATATCCCACCCCATATGTATTGTCTCATATTTTAGGAACATTATCTATAAACCAGTTCCTCATGGATGCATTCCTAAAAAGCTGTTTAAATGTAGTGAGTAAAACAACCAAAGCATCTCGGGGGAACCAGCAGATGGCGTGGTGGTTAAAGTACTGGACACTCCCATATGGCCAACCATGGTTCAAGTCCTGAACCTGGTGGCTTGCTTTCTCACTTTCCCTGTATCTCTCTATATATATATGTGTCTCTTTCTGGTCAAATTAAAATAAGTGAATATATATGAAAATGAAAAGCACTTTCAAGGAAAATATTGCATAAACCCTGACGAATCTTGTCCATGCGAAGTAACTGTTTTCAGGTGTGGCTTTATTTGCCACTTTCTGGAGGTAGGAGGAGCCATTACTTCTTCGTGACCTTCAGGCCCCACGCAGGAAGTCTCTGTTCTGACACCCCAAGAAGCTGTTTCCTGTACTGCATGCATTTATGGAGGCACAAAACAGATGTTGGGCTGCTTGGAAGCCTCCGGTCTCTGCCAGATGCCTTTGAAAACAGAAATGCTGGATTCTCCTGCTGGGTGTAATTTATAAGCTCTATAGAAGAATTTCTTTATGATCCTTTTCTCTCCTGTACCTAATGTATCCTGATGATTGTTCTAAACCGCAATTCTCATAACATTTTTAGAAATCCCAGACCTTAACAGTCAGGCGTTTAAAGCCATGTAGGGCACTAGGCACCTCTCCATAAACCTTCAAAAGGAACACCTCCTTTTATGAGGATGTTTTCAATAGTGCTGCATTGTAAGCAAATGCATCTTTGTTGGCCTTTTTTACATGTGTTTGCAGTGTGTTCCAGATGCTGCAATTACCCCCATTGAGTACTCTAGACTGTTGGGCAAGGAGGACACCATTTCACTTCAGCTCCCTTTACGACAGTGTTCCTTAGCCTCGAACTGTTGTCTCCCTCCTGTGAGGACCGTGCCCGTTTTCTCTCCAGAGTCTGTGGCACGCAGGTGACTTCCAGACGTTTACTGCCTTAGCCATATTCGTTTAACCTACCTCACTAATTTTGCAAATACAGTAAGGGCATTAATGCAAATGAAAATGAGCAAAAGTGAATTGAATTTACACTTTATTAAAATCAATCATTGCAACACTGGAAATTTTATTCAACAGGATCACCTATGTGCTTGTTGTCCTTTATCCGACTTCAGGTAATAGCTGATTTAAAAACAAATAGACAGTGTCACGGATGTCCAGCAATTTATGCAACTTCTTAGAACAGTTTATGACGGGGTCTGTTTCCCTCTGCAGCCACTACAGAACACATGGCACGTTCTAGCAGACAAGAGTGTAGGGACGGCACTGTGATGCTTTCGTCGGGAGTGCCAGCTCCTGGCAGAGGCCTGCATTTCCCGACCTCCTTCCAGGAGGTGCAGCTGCCCGTGCTTCACCTGGAAAGGGAACTCCTTACAGTTCACATCACAGCTTGGCTCTCGGTGGCCCACAAATACATCCTTGGGGTATTAGAAACAATTCTAAGCAGAAACAAATGTGGGGTATGAAGGGGAACCAAAGGAAAGAAAGGGAAAAAAAGAGAGAAAACTTGTTCCTTCATCTCTCCCCAGGAGAAAAATCACATAAAACACTTGCAAGACCCAGGAGAGGATCTCACATGTTATATTTGCAGACTATGAAATAGGGCAATTCCATTTGGGGAAAAAACAGTATAGTACCTAAATGTAAACAGAAACCACTGGGTAATTACAGGCGGTATTATGACTAATACTTTTGCTTGTTTTCTGTTAAGGTGACATATTTGTTTGATAACGGAGGAACAGTCTTCTTTGCTATTTTTATGGCAATATGGGGTAAGTATATTCTTTGATTACTTACTTTCTTGATGTCATTTTCTGAAGCTTTTGCTATTTCTTTAACACACACACACACACACACATGTACCGTGCCCGTGCATGTATGAAGTCAACAACAGTCTCTAAGCTGGTGATTATCCTCTTCATATTTTCACTGCTTCTTTACAAACTCAACTCTTGACCTCTAATCCCTAATTCCTAGACCTTGTTAGACTAAGGAATGTTGTTTTTGTTTGCTGGTTCAATTGTTTTTGCCAAAGGCAAAACTAGAATGCAAATTAAGCTCTTGTACTTTACTGGTGAAAGTGGTAATCCAACATTCTTTTTGCTTTGTACTTCCATTCATTTTTTTTACCTTATGCATTATATATTTAAAGATGTAGAATTCACTCTAAATATGGCTGATCAGTAAGGTCTAATATATAACAAATTCTGTCTCAAATGTACCGTGCATGTATGAAGTCAACAACAGTCTCTAAGCTGGTGATTATCCTCTTCATATTTTCACTGCTTCTTTACAAACTCAACTCTTGACCTCTAATCCCTAATTCCTAGACCTTGTTAGACTAAGGAATGTTGTTTTTGTTTGCTGGTTCAATTGTTTTTGCCAAAGGCAAAACTAGAATGCAAATTAAGCTCTTGTACTTTACTGGTGAAAGTGGTAATCCAACATTCTTTTTGCTTTGTACTTCCATTCATTTTTTTTACCTTATGCATTATATATTTAAAGATGTAGAATTCACTCTAAATATGGCTGATCAGTAAGGTCTAATATATAACAAATTCTGTCTCAAACAAGTTTAAACTGTACACAACATTTTTATGTATAGGTATATTCTTTGGTTGACATCGCCATGTTTCTCATTGAGTTCATTTAAAGTAGCTAATTAATTGAAGCCTAAAGTACATAAAGATGAGCTAGGATTCCCCAACCACTGAGATTTAGAAGAACTAAAATTTTCCTAGTTAGCTTCAGCTTTCTACCTTGTTGAATGCATTTATTATGTTTTAAATTTTATACATTTAATTGCTGTGCATCATTACTGCATACCAAATGAATTTTCCCATCCTGAATGCACTGCATATTGGTCCAGTCAAAGACATTACCATAAACATTATAATCAGCAGATTTCTTTCCATTTTGGATCCCTTAAATATTTTGCTTCTTTCTTCTCCTGGATTCCCTCCGTCCCACCATCCTCCATTATTAATCTAGCAACTCAACAGGCTCAGCTGTGTATGTGTTGATACAAAAAAGCAAAATGCACTGAACAGAAACTGAGCCCTATCCTCTTTCTTAGCTTTAAGTCAAAATTGAAAAAAAAAAAAAAAACAAAAAAACCTCCAATTTTCTTTTAAGAAAATGCTAGTCTTGATTTCTGTCACCAGGACTGCAGAGCACAATGAAGAGAAAACACCAGTAGTTTTTGCATCCAATGTGAAAATACAATTTTGGTTTCCTATTATTGTTGAAGGGATTTTTTTATTATTAAAATATCATGCAAGGCTTTCATGATGAACTATTTTAGTTTTGCCTGATTCTACAAATATTTTGAAAAAACAAAAAAGCCAAAATGCAAATGAAGGTTACTTAATAGGTGCTTCAGCACAACCAAAAATTGTAAGAGAGGAAACCTTTGGAGGGTTTATTGTCTCTGTGTTTCTGCTACTACTTGTACTCTTCCAGTTCTCGACACCATCCACATGACAGGGATCTCGCCCAGATCTTTCAGGATATAGGTGGACACTTGCTGTTGGAAGCTTCTCCCTCTCACTTTTATACTGAAGTACGAAGAGGGGGGATGCTGTCCATGGGAATGCTGTCGCATGCGTTTTCTCGGCCTTCTGGCATGGTTGTGTCGTTCACACTTGGGTTGTAGTAACTAGAATTTCCAAAACTCATGTCATAAGGTTCCGGTGCATTGTCTAATCTCAGAACTAAAAAAGTAACAAAAAGAACAAGATCTTTTTATAGTGACAGTTTGCAAGGTGCATCACCAGGCATCAATAGATTATATGGCTTATTCTAGGTGAGGAAATGCATACATATTTTAGATGGGCTTTTCACATATCAGTCTGGACATTTTAAATAAGTAGATATTTTTAAAGCAACATATGTTTCTCAGAAAAAGAGAATAGTTTTACTTTTAAAATCTCACTGCATGGAACCAGCAGTTAGCGTAATGGCTATGTCGCTGGACTCCACAAAGTCGACCGCGGTTCACATCCTGGACCCAATGGCTAAAAACTCACGCCGGGCGCGTGTGTGTGTGTGTGCCCAAGATCCCAAGAGGAGAATGGAGGAGAAGGGATTGCGGCGTGACCATCCCCCCTGGGGGGTGATTTCTCGCTTTCTGTCTCTCTGTCTGTCTCTGTCTGGTTGAGCGCACACACCCTATAGCGAAAATCTCTCCAAAAAAAAATAAAATAAAAATAAAATAAAATAAAATAAAATCTCACTGCAGGTGATCCCAAAATAAGGAACTAAATTAAGGACGAGATCAGAACAAAAACGTATCATTAGCTCATTTGAAGGAGTATAGACCTAGACCTTCTCAACCTTTGAATCTCATGGGTTCTGAGCTGGCTCAGCATGTGCAGTTTTTAATTTCTGATATAAAATAATTTTTTTAGAAGTGAGAGAATGAATGTTAAAGCCAATGTCATTATTTTGCCTATTATTTCAGTATATTTGTTATCAACCCATTTAAGGTGGAGAAGGAAAAAACTGAAAGCTTTTGTTTCTTTCTAAGAGATACAAGTTATCATACAGTTGAGGTTTTCTGATTAATGGCACAGGAGATTTGGTTTTTTTCTTTTTCAACAGATAGCCAACTATTTCCTTAATGATCTAGGATTAATTTTCAAAGTAAAAGCAGGCATGAACTAGATATCTTAAAGTACTACAAGCAGTCACTAATTACTGATCGGATTAGTAATGTGATTATTGAGTTAACTATTGTCCTGTTCTTACCAATCCATTTCTTAGTCATCTGTTTACAAATTGGGCTCCCAGGGGGCCAGCAAGTGGCATGATGGTTGGAGTACTAGACTCACACATCGTCGACCATGGTTCGAGTCCTGGACCTGGCAGCTTGTTTTTTTTTTTTTCACTTTCCCTCTCTCTCTCTCACACTGTCTCTCTCTAATGACTATAGCAAATTGATAATAATAATAATAGTAAATAAAATCAATAATTCTTTTAAAACACTGGGCTCCCAGAAATCTTAGGTCTTTGGGAGAGCTGTCTCTCTTGAAGAGACATGTGTTCTGACTGAATTATTCCTCACATCTCAGTCGCAACAGCTTAGATCATAGCAAATGGATAGATTCAGTTTTTGCATGAGATTACATGTAAAGGTTCTTAGGTTAAAAAAAGATGAAAAGCTACTGTTGTTAGAAATCCTATCATTTAATTTTGAAGAGACTTTTTATGTTGTATGTTTTCTAGAAACCCATAAACAGAAATCATTTAAATTTACAGTGAATGCCTTTGGTCCTGAACATGAGTAATGTATCCATTATGAACTGACTTATCAAAACTCAGTGAGACTTCACACTAGGACTGAGGCATTTTGCTCTGTTACAACAAGGGTCCCTTGTACGTACCAAGAAACAGATTTTCTTCTCTAAATTACAGAAACAGAGATGAGAGAAACATCCAAAGTGATTTCATTTCTGTTCTAATTGACACCATATTGTTAAAGACACAACTCACTGATTTATTTTTATGTATTTTTTTTTCTTTATTTGGAGAGATTTTTTCTATAGGGCGCACACACTCATTAGAAAGACAGAGAGAGACAGAGAGACAGAAAGCGAGAAATCACCCCTCAGGGGGGATGACCATGCCGCAATCCCTTCTCCTCCATTCTCCTCTTGGGATCTTGGGCACGCACGAACATGCGCCCGGTGTCAGTTTAAGCCACTGGGTCCAGGACTCGAACCATGGTCAACTACATGGGAGTCCAGAAACATAACCATTATGCTAACTGCTGGTCCCATTTATATATGTTTTTTATTCATAGATATTTCCATAATATGAGTGGGAATTTTTGAACTCAGCTCTCTTGTGACTTTATGGGTACAAATACACAACTTTTAAGAGCTCTGTTTTAGAGACTCATTAAAATAGTTGCTGAAAGGTGGTGTAAAACATGAGAACTCCAAATGTGATGAAGTCTTTAAAGATCTAAGATCTACTAAGATCTAACAATGGGAAGCAATGGCTTTGCAGTGACTTGCTAACAAAACTGGCCATTATTTCTTTTCCCTTTTCTTATACAGTTGTCTTCCAATTTTACACGTTTTAGACCTGGGATTACTATTTAAAGGCAATTTTGATGCAATAAGCAATAGTTCCAAATAGTTTTTAAGTTTCATTCACGGGTCCGTAATTATTTTGATTTTGTTCTTTGAGAAACAGAAGACATCTCAAAATAAATACTAGGTCTTTTCCTGCCACGTGAATCCCTGAGTCACTTTCTAAGCAATGCAGCAAACATTAGCATCCTCATTAAATCTACCATGTCCATGTGAAGTGCTGAAGGAATCTTTACCTGGTTCATTCCTGTCATCATAAAGTCGCCGATGAGAAAATGAATCAGTCTTTCTCTTTCCACACAACAAGTAGCCAACAAGACTAAGCAACGAAGCACCCAGAATAGCACCTAAAATGGCCCCAAAAACGACTCCTGTCTTTCTGTTCTCTAGAAGACAAAAAAGAAAAATTACTTGAAGATAAAAATAGAAATAATTATTCAAAGGACAGAAATATATACATGGGGACTTCTATATACCAAAGAATTTTTAATAGTTTTTAATTAGATAAAGAAGTGTGAGTGTATGTGTTTTACAAAGTACTGAGTATTTAGGATTAACTGGAAAAATGTACTTCTTAATAAAACTATACTTTTAATTACATCGAAATACTTCTCAGTCATAGATTTATCATTGTCCCGTTATTTATCAACTACAGTACTGAAATGCCCTGTGCATCCTTTTGTAAGAACTAATTTCAGTCTTATATTTTGTATTCATTAAGTGTTTCATAAACTCTGAGTCTCAGATGAACTTCAATGATGTACTGAAATTTGAGCTAGTGTATCTATTGGGAAAAATTCCAAGATTAGGCCAGTCACGGGCATGGTAAAGTGGCCGGATCTCACATGGCTCACTGTGCAGTTTGAATCTGGACAAGTAGCTTGAAAAGCAGGCCAGGTACATGTGCATGCGTGCCCAAAATCCTGAAAGAAGAAATGGAGAACAAATTGTAGCATGGCCAGCCTCCATGGGGGTTGCTTTCTTACTTTCCCTCTCTATCTCACTGTCTTCTGGTGAGCATACATGCCCTCTGGTAAATTAAAATTAATAAAAGAAATAAAAGCTCTTGGGAGTAAATGGATAATACAAAATAAATCTACAAAACCCTAAGGAAAAAGGCACTGTAAGAAAAAAGCAACAGCTGGACCAGCAGGTGACATGCTGGTTAAGACACTAGATACTGCAACATAGCTCATCATGGTTCAAGTCCTGGACCTGGTGCCTTGCTTTCTCACTTTCCTTCTCTCTCTTTCTGTGTCTCTCTCTGGTCAAATTAAAATAAATTAATGAATAAATAAATAAAACTAAAGAATTCTTTAAAAAAAGAAAAATAACAACAGGGCCAGTACTTGACATTGTCTTAAGGTGTTGGGCTCCCACATGGCCAAATATGGGTTGAGTTTCAGACTCAGTGGCTTTAAAATCACATTGGGTGTGTGTGCCTCTGTGCCCAAAATCCCAAGAGGAGAACGAAGGAGAAGGGATTATCGTATTGCAATCTCTCCTGGGGGGTGATTTCTTACTTTCCCTCTCACAGTCTTTGTCTTTAATCCAGAGAATGAACACACCCTATAGCAAAAATCTTTAAAAGAAAGAGAGAAAAAAGCAATATATTCTGATACAAGATGTTTCAAAATACTACAAAAAGACCATCAAGAACTGTTGTATAGGTCTGAGTTTAAGGGAGTTCAAAATTTTATTGTTCCATCCCCTTTACTGAACACCTTATTTGAAAACTAAGTCATCTGTCAACTAGTTAATGTTCCCTAAACTCATGTTGAATATATTTTCATTTCTTTTGTTTTCATTTCTCATTAATTAGAGACAAGGCATTTTGTAGGAGCTATGATTTCTATATAAAATGCTATTTCTAAGAAAAATTAATTTTTGTGCTGGAGTGAAATGTTATAAAAGAGAACCAAAATTTTCTAAATTTTCTTTAGATAAAAGAATAATGATAGGATAACTTAGTATTTTCTATATGAATATCAGGTTTATATAGACAAAGAGAGAGAACATTTTCTTCCTAATGAGCTAGCAGAGTATGTGTGAATTATAGGATACGTACATACATGACATATTGATTGTGGTGCTATAGTTAAGCCTGGGTTTCTGAAGTCAAAACTTTTCCTGTACATTGGCAACAACTTTCAGATAGAAATGTGTATGTATCATTTGGTTTCTACATCATTCATCTCTAAGTTTCTTTGGAAGTCAGTGAGTTCTTTGGAAAAGATAATAGTATTTTTTTTAAAAAAATTAGTTTCAATGGAATCAAAGCATGGCTAAACCTAAAAAAGCAAAATGAATGAATTACTAAATATTAAAGATCTTTCTCACTTTATCTTTTAAAATTCGCCTTAATCTTTAAATAAAATATAAAATATCCACATAATACATTTTCTTGTAATACTGTTTGTTTTTTTATGGTAGTCATTAGATAATAAACTGAAAATTAAGGAGAATTTCCTTGTGTGGAGTTTATTTTTTTTTAATATCAGCTATGTAGCATCAGATAATACTTATAAATTTGTTTATTTTGTTTAATTTCTCAAGGTTCACATACATACACACACATATATGTATATACACACACACTACATATATACACACACACACACGCACTCATATGTATTTATACACACACACATTTTAGAGAGAGGGATTTTTGCTATAGGGCACATGTGCTCGCCAGAGAGACAGAGAGACAAAAGGCAAGAAATCATCCCCCAGAAGGGATGCCCACTCTGCAATCCCTTCTCCATTCTCCTCTCAGGATTTTGGGCATGCAAGCATACGCACCCAGCGTCAGTTTTAAGCTGCCAGATCCAGGACGTGAACTGCTGTTGATTTTGTGGGAGTCCAGCAACATAATCATTACACCATCTGCTGATCCTTTACAAACGTATGTATTTCTAAACTTCAGTTATATAGTAGTCCTGTAAATGTTAAATTCCAAGTATTCTAAGGTTCAGTGAAAATTATTAACCACCATCTAAAAACTGTATCACTACCTCAGTAACCCTTTTTTCTTGGCCTAATTTTCTTCTCATTGTCCCATTGTCTCTTCATGTTCCTTGACAGTAATCACTCACAATTAGACACTCACTCATTTCACTATTTCCAGTGACTGATGGAACCACCCACCACGTCACTGGAAATGTAGGTAAGTCCCGCCTGTGCAATTGCATTCTCTTCCGTATTTCTAGCATGACACATTCCTTATACTTGACCTAGCAATACAAGACTTACTTGGAGATTCTATTTCACACAAAAGAAAAGTTAAGTCCATTTACATTTACCTTCTTGAGGGTCTGATGTACTCGGAAAGAGTTTTGAATTATTGGTAAACTTTAAGGTGGGCTGTGGGGTTGTTATTTCTTGATAGGGGGTAAACCCAGCAAAGCTATCGCTGCTTGTAGTGAACTCTCCAGTTGGCTCCATTGTCAAGGGGGTCAGAGATTTGGTGGTTGGTTCTGGAGGGGGGAGGGCAACTGTCACAGAACTATTGTCAGCAATTTCTGTGCTATCATTAGCCAAAAACCATGGGGATGTTCCTAAAGAAAATGTTGCTGTAGCATTGGGACTTGCTGAGACTACCAACGGATAGCCCCCAGATGAGTTCAAAGGCAATTTAGAAACAAAGCTATGGATCAAGGGAGAACTTGTAGACTGTGCGGATGTGGGTCCTGGACTCCCAGAAGTGTTGTGTGTTGACAGGTTGCCAGAAAGAGCTATTAGTTCATGAATTTTGTTTGATGAATCCAGAAGAGACGAATTACTTGTCTTGGGATTGGAGGTGTTTCTAGATCTTGTATCAGAGTTTACATTTGCTTCTCTTTCCAAAGAAATAGATTTATTTTTCACGGTTTTCAGTCCTTCTGTTGTGCTTTCTGTTGCATTTATTTCTAGGGTTTTTTTCCCATGGATCCCAAATAGTAGTGAACTGAACAGAATTGAGATCACCAGGATTTTGGCTAAGGTCAACATTGTAGTCTTCTTCGGTATTGCTCTGTTAAGGGGAATCAGAAAGAAAATAATTACCCGATGAAGTATTTGAGTTTTTAAATGGATCTCCATTTGATTTATTTTATAATTTCTGATGTACATTTAATTGCTGTACTTCTTTGTGGGATATAGTACGGCTTTTCAACTCATGCATAGTGTATGGCTGTCAAACAGGGATATTAACATGTCCATTCTCTTCCACAAATAACGTTATGTTGTGGACCTTTAATAGTCATTCTACTAGCTTTTTCTTTTATTTTGAGGGGTGGAGGATATATATATTAGATTGGCAATGTCCTTTTTTACATTCCTTCTTATATATGTTAATTCCTTTCCCCCTCCCTGTCATGCAGTCTCTGCTCTCTACCAAGGCCCTCTCTACTCCTATAGATCTACTTTTTCTTCTTTTAATTGCCTAAAGGGGCATGCCTTTTCCAGAGAAAAAACAAAGAAACAGAGAGGGAGGGAGAGAACCCACCAATGGGTATTGATTATGCTGCCATTCCTTCTCCTTTGTCTAGCCATCCCACTGGAACCCTGGGTATACACTCACATGTGCCTGGCATGTCTCTCAAACCACAGGCTGGGAACCCAAACTGCAGTGAGCCTTGTGCATCTCGCTACCTTAACCAGAGGCTATGGGGCTGGCCCAGTGGTTCTACATTTTAGTGTGATCGCAATGTTGAAGTAATATTATCATATTCTTTATTCCCCAAGAATTGTGGCGTTTTTATTTAATGTATTTATACTAGTGTCAATTAGTTCTGTTTTCTACGTAATATTTCTTTTTTCACTCCTTCAAGGGAAATATCATGAAAAACATTGTCAAATGGGACACTACTGTTCCAAGATCATTTAGCTTGTGCAAAGTAAAAATTATATTTAAATATATATAATTTATATGTGTTTTATAAATTTTATACACACACACACCCACACACTGTACACACACATACCATGCAGGCTTAGGTCCTAAAAACGGTTAACGTTATTAAAAATTAAATTACTATTATGCATTTATTATACCAAATGTTTTTCACATTTTCCGTTTAATGCTTAGCCAACCAACCAGACAATGACAAAGAGTTTATTAATCCCATTTGCAGATGCTTGAATATGGCATAAAGAATGTAAATAATGTGTTCAAGGGTACACAGCTAGTGACTGAGAGATAGGCTAAGATTCAAACTTTGCAGTGTCTGAGTTACGCGAGTCCTCGCTTCTGTAACAGAAGTTGCAGTGCAGATAGTTTGGTATGGAGCCATTTTATTTTTTTTCTTCAGAACTTCCCACCACCTCTTTCCTAGCCCAGTGTCTCCAAACTTAATTATTTTAGCCAGAGCAGTGTCTAAGCCTGTTCTTTAAGAACACTGGGAATGTATAGCCTTCTATTTCCAGTACCTCTTAAATATATGAAATACACTTTCACCTCAGTTTGAGAAAACCCCAGCAATGGTATCTGTGGTTTCTAGAGGGCCACTTGACCATGTCGTTTACGGATGAACAAAGCACAAGAGATTTTTCCCAGGACCTGTAGTTCTCAAACATTTCATTTAACTGATGCCTCCTCTAGCACATTTAAAATACGGTTTAGCTTAGTTTAAACATAGCTATGTGTCTCTTTAGCATCATCTGTCTCCTGGAAACTTGGTAAAGTTTATAGCAAACATGACCGTCTTTTTCATTATCTATTGCCAGGGATCTGATTTGTGGCTTGCTCTTGGCCACTGTTTTTAGGCATTATTATGCAGTTTGATTTGCCTTTTTTTTTTTTTTTATCAAGGCATTTTGCTTATTTTCCCTTCCAAATAAAGTGGTCACTAGGGAGGACAAGATCCTCAGCTGTTCTAGTTTTCTTTAAGTGTCACGTGAGAAATGTGGCAGTGAGCTTTCCTCCCTTCCTGTAACAAAAGCCCACATATCACACGTCTGTAGAGTGCGTCCCATTGTTTGTAACATTGAACCACCGAAGGGATCTCTCATTCCTTCACCTCGATGTGAATTATAACTTCAAAGCCCAGCGCATCGATATCCTGAACGAATCAAGCATTCTGCTGCTGCCTACAATTTCTCTCCTGGGAAGAGGGGAGAGAAAGGAAGGGCTAGCACAGTACTGTCGTGAGTGCTGTTTACAGTCTATTCAGAAAGGAGCGCTGGTGTAGATAAAGTCATTGTGAGGGTCGAGCCAGCCCTGTTCTGTCACTGCAGCTGGAGACATCTTTGCTTCTCCTCTCTGGCTTCTAAGAGAACCAAATTAGACCCTTACTCAGGTACTTCTCATTTTCAAAAGGTAAGAGAAGGCAAGAGCTGAAGCCATCAGCTGTTCAGGAACCCAACCTTGAAATTTCGCTACACAGAGACCATGTGATTTGGTTAATTTTTAGCACATCCTCAACTAAGCAAAGCGTGTTTTAAGCAGCACACATGAATGGAGGTGGCACAGAACCTCCAGAGAACAACGAATCAAATCTGTACTTTTTTCTCTGCATTTTTCTTTCAGCTTCTTTCGACCTTTAGGATACAAATATTTAACTATATTGCATGTTTGTTCTATAAAGCCGAAGTCAAGGTGGATTATGAGTGGCACGTTTGAGGTTTTTCTATAGCCAGGCACACCATGGGGCAGACAGAAAGTGGGTTGGAAAAGAGAAACTGTAGAGAGAGAAAACCAGGGGACCCGGTGGCATCATTTCTCTACCTAATCATTATCTCTCCTTGTACCTGGGCAGCAGAACTTTTTGAAATGTGACCTCCAAAAGAATTTTGAAGATGTAACATTGGAACGGAGCTAAGATCATCGCAAACTTGAAAAAGTTTTAAGGATAGAATTACTATAAAGGAAAAAAAAAAAACCAGAAGGGAGGATTTCCAGCTACATTATGATACCTTAAATATAGATTCCAATTTTTCCTATATACAGGAGCCAGCAGGTGGCATAGTGGTTAAAGCACTGGACTTCCACGGTTTGGTCAACCACGGTTGGACTCAGCATCTTGAAAATCATGCCAGGTGTGTGTGTATGCATGCCCAAAATCCTGAGAAGAGAATGAAAGAGAAGGGATTGCAGAGTGTCCATCCCCCTGAGGGGTAATTTCTCTCTCTCTTTCTGTCTCTGGTGAGCACACACACCCTACTGAAAAAAAAACCCCACAAAATATTTATATAAATATTAAAATAGAGTTTTAGAATGAGTGCATGAGTTCTACTCTTTCTTTTTTTTTTGGAGAGGTTTTCGCTATAGGGCATGTGCACTTGTCAGACACCCACAAAGAGACAGAGAGACAAAAAGCGAGAAATCACACCCTGGGAGGGATGGTCACGCCGCAATCCCTTCTCCTCCGTTCTCCTCTCGGGATCTTGGGCACACACGCACATGCGCCCAGCGTGAGTTTTAAGCCACCGGGTCCAGGACACGAACCACGGTCGACTACGTGGGAGTCCAGTGACATAGCTGTTACGCTAACTGCTGGTTCCCAAGTTCTACTCTTTTTAAACAACTCCTCACACAGAGAGAATGCCCGTGACTTTCTCCTTCTGCCCTGTTGGCACTAAAAAGGTGGCTTCACGTTACCACTTTTGTATGAAGAATTGCCAAAAGTGGCAAGAGGGATTGGCCATTAGGGGAAGCAAACCCACAATTTCTGTGCATAATTTTGCTTCCTCTTAAATGCATAGTCATTAATCTGCCCAGCCTACCTGTTGTAAGTGACTCAGACCCATTTTATACCAAGTTTTGAAAATAAGGAGACACCCTGGTGTGTGTCAAGTAATCAACCCATGCGAGAGAGAGCAAGTGCTAGCCATTCTGATTCAATCAAAATCAGAAAATTTAAATTGAAACCTCAGTTCCGTGACCCTGAGGGAATGATACAAAATAGTAAATCAAGTAAGGTGTATACATTGTAGCACTTTTCTCCCAGGTCCTTTTGATCATTTTTTGTTACAGATCTTAAGCAGCAAAGTAAGATGGATGGGTTTTGTCTGCCTTTGTCATAGGAAACTCTGTCTGACAGGTACCTGGTGTCCCAGGCAGCTCTGAGTATTGCTTTGCGTGGCCTTTCCAATCTTGGACAGTGTTTTGCTTTCCCTCAATAAAAGAGTCACAATAAATGAGGACACAAGAAATCAAAATTGCCTCTGTTGTAAGAGAGTTTCGCAAGAGTAAGAAGTTAGAAAGTAGGATTGTACCCAAGGAGCTTAAACCTATCGTTTCACTGTTATTTCATTGAAAAAGAATCAATCTTTAAAAAAAAAAAAAAAAAAAACACGGATTTTCCTAAAGAAAACATGAATATAAAAAAATGTACAAACTTACTGTAATTCAAAGACAGGCATGCATGAATCCAAAACAAACAGAGAGAATAATTCCTACTAGCTTGGGAGTTCTGAGTCATACATGTCACTACTTCAGTGAAAAAGTGGATGAGTGTCAAGCTTAGGAAAAAACAATTGTGTCTCCAAAAGAAATGTTCTGGAACTAAACTCACAGGCATGGAGTCTTCTTCCAGTGTCACCTGTCACAGCTTGTAGGCATAGTCTCCACAGATCAAACAGAAAGTGTCTGGATAGTAAATCAGCATGTCTTGAATAGCCACAGATGGCAAATAACTTGAAGAACCTTAATCCACATCTTCGTTCCAGGGGACGGCCTCTGTCATAGCCAGCTTCGCCTCTTAAATTCCCAACGAATGCCAGACATGCACTTACCAAGCTAAATAAAATAATTACACATACAATATTTCGCCAACTCCTTAGTTGAGAAACTAAAATTGTGTAAACTTGGAAGTCACTGTATGCGAAGATCGCTTTTCCAACAACTGTCATATTCTAATACTTTGATCAAAAATCTTTAAGTTTGGATGCATAATTTAAACCTACACAGTCAATTTGTATCATTTCCACTCCCAACTTTTTGAAACTTTTACTAAGATCCGACTTAAGGAAATTCTAATTCGTAGTTACATACATTCTAAATAGGACTTTTATTCAACTCGGCAGTAATTTGTGAAGTTACCTCATTGAAGAGTGCGAATGCTCACTTGAATGTAATTACTTAGTCAAACTGGCTGCCTTTAAAGGGTTTCTGCAGTGACTTGCTAGACTGTTCAGTCAAAAGGTGAGGCCGCTTCGTTTCTCTCCGGTAATTCAAGAAGAGAGGGAGAAGAGAAAGAGCAACTCAGTAACCCAGAACACGCTTACCTTCGGGTCTAGGAGGTGTTTAAAAACAGGAACTGAAATATCACAATTGTCCTGGCTGGAATGAGTCTGCCGTGCATTAGCGAAAACAGAGGAGTTAAGTGTGACAACGTCACTCGGAGAAGGAGGGTGCCAGGGAAACACAATTAGGTGGGGTTGGCCATATCTCGCTTGTGTAATAGAGCACCAGGGAACCTGACTGACCTGCTCCTCCGCAGTAAGCGGTAGGATATCCACTCTCTCAAGCCTTTACCAAAAAAAGAAAAGGAACAAAGAAAGAAGAAAAGCCCAACCCTCCAGTTTTCATAGGTCGGTGGTTTTGACTTTGAGACAGGCTAGTTCTCTTCACCAGTGGTAAAATAAAGGGCATTCATTTCTTACCCAAAGAAAGAAAAAGAACAAAGACTTAGTGACATCCTCTGATGAATCAGGAAGTTTCGACATGTGGAGGGGGTCCCCCACTTGCAGGAAAGATAGCCAGTCCCAGCCTACCCCTGCTGCTCTGAGAGTACCCCGGATGTTCCAGCTCACAAGCAGACCTTGCTGTCCTGTAGCAGGTGGCACTGTGTGTGTATTTATAACCGCGATGGAGAAATTGTGGCAGGGTACACAGTGAGGGACCTCGACTGCAGTGCGCTGAAACTGGTTTTATAAGTCACACTTCACACCGAGTGAATTAAAGTGTTTCGGGATCCTTGAGAAAACCGTGAACTTACACTCAGAAGAGTCACCAAGACAGAGATCAGGTTTCTGGCTCACTTTCCCCGAGTCTGGAGAATAACTGGGGCTTGTTTGAGAATGGGCACGTGATCCTGAATAATCCTGGGAGCTTTCTCAACTGAGTGTTTCTATCCTGTCTTCTCTTTGCATTTACGCTCAAGTCAGAAACTGGGGAGTTTCAAAAGTGCCCAGGTAACGCTTGATTAAATACTAGTCCCGAAGAACAACCTGGCATACTGCCTTCGCTTCCTTTCACAGTTTATGAAAGGGAGAAGAGAGAGCCTGGGATCTTCTGCACATCAGTATTTGGGGGCTGGGGCCAAGGTCTGCTCAGCTCAGTATGCCTGGGGTTCATACTTGGTTTCTGTTCTGTGAGGAGATAAGTTGCCAACTGCTGAAAGAGAAAACGAAACTTTAGCTAAAATGCAGGAGCTAGTCAGCTTCAAATGAAATGCAAAGAACCAGCCCAGTCCATGGGCCCCTGGAAAGAACAAGGTAATCCTATAGTTGCAAATGTTCTCAAACCCAAAGGCCCCTTCAGGGTTTGATTAGAAAGTAAGCCAACACCTAAGAAATATTCACTCAGAGGATATTTAAGCCATATCTGCATGGGTTTGAAGGAGAGCGTGATAAATTTAATCAAGCGACTGGTTGATTATTGAGCAGTGGCTTACTAGAGTTTAATGAGTTGTTTTCAGATTTGCTGGTTACTAGGAAAAGCATCCAACTGAATAAATAGTTTATATGCTTAGAGAACTGAAAATGAATTGACAGGGCTGGACATACCATATCTTAGGCATTTTCCTAGATAAATGTAGAAATCCCCCTCTCTGACTATAGCAGTTATGGCTTATTCAAGAAATGAACTTTACTAAGCATGTCTGCTACAACTCTACTTCCACAGCTGAAAAGTCAAAGCTAATCTCTCATGGCCTTTTTTCCTGAAGACCTTAGCTGGAGGCTCGGAATCCTTTTCATCACTGCCCGCCTTGTAAGCATAATCGATTGATTAGAACCCATCCAAGAGATCAACTCTGTCTATCCTCCTTGTCTTGAGCACATCTGGAAAGTAAGTCATAAAATGGAAACTACCCACAAACTCAATGCCTCAGTTGTTACTTAGCTCTCTTACTTGTAGTCAGACACCTCTGTCAAGTCACCTGAGTTGGAGTTTTTGAAAAGCAATTTCTCGGGACCAGCAGTTAGTGTAATGGCTATGTTGCTGAACTCCCATGTAGTCGACCATGGTTTGAGTCCCAGACCCGGTGGCTTACACTCATGCCGGTGCGTGTGCGTATGTGCCCAAGATCCTGAGAAGAGAATGGAGAAGAGATTGTGGCATGGCCATCCCCCCACGGGGGTGATTTCTCACTTTCTGTCTCTCTGTCTCTCTCTGTCTTTCTGGCGAGCGCACGCACCCTATAGCAAAAACCTCTCCAAAAAAAAAAAAGAAAAGCAATTTCTTGCCAAATAAACATCTCACTGAGACACAGTTCCAGGTATATGCCATGTTCTAGGTAAATCTAATCCCATCTGAGATCTAGTTCCTCCAGAGGAACTCACAATAAGGGACACCTGCCTGACAATTTCATCAGCCACGCCAGCTGGGCGGCACATTGGGCAATGTGTCTGTGGTGTTTTCTGTACGACCTGCCTTGGTGACTCCAGTTGGGAACATTGCCAATTGCTTTCCACTAGTTAAGTCTCTGAGCACACACCAGGAAGAAGAAACACTTCTTTGTCTGAAATGACGGAAACACAAGGGGACTTTCCAGAACATAAAGACACATGGCTGTCACCAGTAGATCTGACAAGAGAACCAACGTGTACCACACCTCAAATAAACTCTGCACACTGTTCATTCTAGATCCCAGACAGTCTGTTTTTGTACCAGTCCTGTAGTGTCAGATGCCTGATGTTGATGTCACACACAGGTAATTTGTCGGCCTACATCAGATTCATTGACAGCAGGTTGTGAGTACATAACAGGCAGTAAACTGAATTCTCTCATGTCTCTCCCCATTGCAGCATGGGCACTTCAATAAACAAAAAATATTTGAATACTAATAAATTAAATCATGGTTATATCATATGAGGGTACTTCAATAATGCTTTTTCATAAATAAGATGAAAGTTATGGCCAGAAAATGTATTTGAGGATAATGGCACTTAATTTCTTTCAGTGTTTTGCTAAAGAAGAAATAGATCATTCTCATGAATATTAATAGTTGTTTTACATACAAGTTTGTTTTTTTCCTGTTAAATCACATGGTATTGTCATAGAATCTTTTCTTATTGATAGCTTTATTTTTAAATTTTATTTATTTCTTTTGAGAGGTTTGTTTGTGTTTGTGTTTTTGTTTTTAGCTAGAGGGCACATGCACTCGCCAGAAAGACAGAGAGACAGAAAGCAAGAAATCATTCCCCAAAGGGGATGGCCACACTGCAATCCCTTCTCCTCTCGGGATCTTGGTCATGCAAGCACAAGTGCCCGGTGTGAGTTTAAGCCACCAGGTCTGGGACTCAAACTGCAGTCAACTACATGGGAGTCCAGTGACATAGCCATTACGCCAACTGCTGGTCCCACTTAATGTTAGCTTTATGAAAAGGTTACATGCTCCATTTTGATGTTAAGGAAATTCTAGGGCAACAGCCTTTAGTAGGGTTTATGGTATAACATGTATCTGTATCATACATGTAGGAGTACATACGTGTATGTATATATACATAAATAATGAGCTACAGAAAGTTAAAGCTGATAAATTATTAAAAATAACTTTAAAAGATAGATTCCCTATATGATATTTGGTGTTTAATGCACCCATAGTTCAGCGAAGTGAATGATACCACTGTTAAAATAGCTGCTATATTGTTACCTATGCATTTCTATGAACATGTTTTCCCAATCAACAGCCTTACAAAAGTAAAAACTTAGAAGATTTGATGCTAAAACCTACACATTGTAGTCAGAATGAACAGGTACCTGAACCAGTTGAAAAACAGAAACTACACTAATATCCTTGAGATACATTTATAATAAAATTGTAGACATTATGTATAGTATTCATTAACATTCAAAATAAATTATATTGTTTTAGCAATTGTTGTAACTCAGTTCAAAATTTTTTTTAAAGTAAAAGCCTAAGGGTCACAGATTTTTTTTTTTTTAATTTAAAAAGTTATATCTAGGGGCTCTTTGGTGGCATGGAGGATAATGGGCTGGACCCCACATGGCCGACTGTGCCATTCGAGTCTGAGACCCAGTGACTTAAAATACACCAGGAAAGTGTTCATGCATGCCCCAAGTCCCAAGAAGAGACTGGAGGAGAGGGACTATGGCATGGTCATCCCCCTGGGAGGGCATTTGTCTTTCCCTCTCTCTTTCTCACTCTGTCTCTGTCTCTCTCTGGTAAGCACATGCACCCTACAGTAAAAACTCAAAAAATGTATATCTGGAATTTTTTTTTATTTCATGGAAATATAATAAACACTTTCCAAAAGAAATATTTATCAAAGATACTATTCTGAGTGAAAATTGAATGAAAATAGAGTTAAATATGAAATTGAACAACTAAAATTTTGCAACAGGTGAGAGCTTATTGCAGATATATTTTTAAAGGGATAGATGGCTGTATGAAAAGATTGGTATAAAAATGACATTTTAAAACGTTAAAATACACCAGGAAAGTGTTCATGCATGCCCCAAGTCCCAAGAAGAGACTGGAGGAGAGGGACTATGGCATGGTCATCCCCCTGGGAGGGCATTTGTCTTTCCCTCTCTCTTTCTCACTCTGTCTCTGTCTCTCTCTGGTAAGCACATGCACCCTACAGTAAAAACTCAAAAAATGTATATCTGGAATTTTTTTTTATTTCATGGAAATATAATAAACACTTTCCAAAAGAAATATTTATCAAAGATACTATTCTGAGTGAAAATTGAATGAAAATAGAGTTAAATATGAAATTGAACAACTAAAATTTTGCAACAGGTGAGAGCTTATTGCAGATATATTTTTAAAGGGATAGATGGCTGTATGAAAAGATTGGTATAAAAATGACATTTTAAAACGTCATGCTTAGAATGCACTGGAAATTACGTTCTTTGCAATTACCTAAATAGAAAATGAAAAAAAAAAAGTTTGAATGTCGTTGTAAAAATGTACAAAAGGTAAATAATTTCACTGAATTTCTTTAGATTTTACATAAAAATTTTAAGGACAATTGATTTGCCGTACAAGTTAAATTTAGAGTGGTAAATCAGACAATCTCGATAATTTCTGAGTGATGCCTGGTAATGTTTTGAGCTGTTCATAGATGCGATTTATTTTATGGGGTATTTTTCTGCGCAATTTAGAGTCTGACACGAATGTCTGCTATGCCTTTTTATCCCCCCTTATAGCCCTTTCAAGAAAAACCAAAGCGGGGTGGGTGAAGATGGTTGCTAAAAGATGATGGAGACAATTAGAAAATGAACACTGTTTTCTTCGTCGTGCCCCTTTTACTGGCACGGTCATACTCTGCACACGTTCCAGGACAGCATAGGTGTCCCATGGAG